TGAGGGTCGTCCAATCAGCCGACAATTGGTACAGTGGGTGGCGATAAGCCTCCACAGCACGTATCATTTCGGCCTTTTGAGAGCCCCCACCTGACGTTGCTGCTCAGTTGCGGTATTTGATCCAAGAAATCAGCATTTCATCGCTTCAATTAATGATACTATTCGCATTGATGGCGTTGGGATTTACTGCCGCGTCGATTACGGTTGCGTCAGTGTGGGTCTTTCCAATACCTTATATGGTAATCGTCACGATGCCAATTTTTCTATTGCTATTTGTCTGCATGATTCGTTTCCTCCTTGGTGCCGGTGTATGTTGGTAAGACGACGACAATTTATCCGCTTCGTTATATCAGTCAACATCCAGGCTCTGATGGCGATAGCGTATCCAGCGTATCAGTTGCTATTCAACTCTATAGCAGGATCGATCTGTGAACTCCTGGTGTTTTTGTTTTTCCTATCTGAAATCATACTCAAGAACCTCGTGTCGCTCTGTTTAGCCGGTTTGGCTGACTTGATCCCAGAGAATATTATTTTTACGGTTCATTTCTTCAATGCAATCTATTTAGCCACATGTATGCAGAGCTCTTCATCAACATTCGCAGTTTCAACCATTATGATCATCGATTTTTATTAGAAACTGAAATGTCATTGTATGGGATTTATCGCTCATGTAATCGCATCATGAAGCAACTCCACCAGACTATTGACCCATCTATTAGCAAAGGCAATCTGCTATCCGCTGCGTATTCATTGTGTCACTACCACGATAAATTCACCAAGGAAGAGCGGAAGCAAGTTCAAGTACGCTCCTGCTTTCCTCATCAATTGTCGATCGAAGGACGAGATCTTCTAAGCAAACTTGAAAATGAGAATCTCAGCATTGGTCCAACTTTTCCTCCCTCTTCCAACACCCAGTCGATGCCGACGATGAAAAATGTGCTTCCTACTGGCTGTGGTCCGCCCGTCGGTAGTCGTTGGAGCACCATGAAACAGCCTGTTAGTCCGACAAGAATCAGGTCCGTGCAAGTAACATGCACTAAGCGAAGCCGTAACGTAAACGCTATCACTGCTGTGCCGTCCGTGCAACACATCGCTTCTCTTCGCAAGACACTGTCAACACTATTTACCATCGAATGCACGATTTTGGCAGAGTACGTTGAGTTTATCATTCCGTTGTTGTACGGTAACTATATCCGATGGTACATCTTCCAAGCGCGCGATTCCACACAGAACTCACTGACGTCACTGAGGATAATGTCATGTCTACCGTGTACATGGTGTTTCTGTACGGGCTGCTGGAGTTCGGCTCGTTCGTTTTGCTAATGATCATTTTGAAGAGAGGTTGTGGAATGCAAGCACTTTACCATCTTGCATTTGTTTTAGAAACTCAAATGCTGTCAATCCAGAGCGAAATTATCGGCTGGATGCTGATCACGTTCGGTTTTTGAGTTGATCACTTCGGTACGCTCCTACCGCTCAATATTTTGCACTGAAGTACCTGAGGTGTATTGACATGTTTGGTGCTTGTAAGCGTCGATTGGCGCCTACCCAATTTCCATGGATTCAGAATCAAAACGGTATCACGTGGTGATGAATTAAATTATGGTTATACGTGTTTAGTGCTTACCGTAAAAGAAAGGTTGGTAGCGAAAAATAGCCATTTGTTTAAAAAAAAGAAAAAACTTGATGTGTCACTTTTTTTTCTCCACTTGCTGTTTTGCTAATTGAAATTGTCGAAGCCATTGGCTTTTCGGTGAGGCTACCTCTTATTGTCTCGAGTACCATGGGGACGCAACCTACTACAGCTCTATTGGCATTGAATGTGTATCTGAAGTGGGTTAAAATCTGGTGAGTTTAACGACAAAGAGGATTATTCGTAAAATCTTCATACGAGGTTCAACTCGGAAACCCCTTATATGCGCTTTGGTTATAGAGTAGGAGCATTCGATGAATGCAAACCTTCACACTATTATTGAGAAGCACAGTTGCAAATCACAATCACACTAAGAAATGCATTCATCGGCAACAGCGCTCTCTCCACTCACATTGACGTCGCATAGGTAACTGGCATCGATTGTCCCATTTTTTCAGCAACTCGTGCTTGGACGATATGTTACCGCGGGTGCCGGACTTGTCACGCCTCTCTAATTCACTCTAAGCTTGTTACTTTACATCCCACCAGGCCAAGTTCGCAATGTTTTCCAGACTTGTCGATGCTGCCGAGAATAGGAGATACTCCGCGGGTCGTCTCCTTGTAGTTAATGACACAACTTCTTAGGCACACCATGTATCCCGTCGTAAAATCCGTATTCGTTGTGGGATCCTCACGCAGATTTATGTAGATTGGCACTTCCAAGTATCATATCACAAGGCGGTACTTTCGACAGCGAATGGAATGGAAGCATGTAGAGGATGCCGCATCAGGGAACTCACTATCACCTCATTATTTTTTAATTGAATCAGAGCGAAGGAGACGCGTGACCAGAGAAAACGGGGATTATCAAACACGACCCCGATTGCGTTACACGGAACATTCCAGCAGCACTACGGCTCGAATAATTGCCATATCTCAAATAATTGTCATAGTGTCTCCTTTGTTGGTTCGTCAGGAACATCCAGAAATTGACAAAAATTCAATCTTCCAGTCTTTCCATCCATGCCTTGTGTTCCTCCTTACTTTAACATCAAGTAGCTGATAGTTTTACCATACGTCGTGCTTTTGAGCACGCTAACATGAAAGGATGCCAAGAAAGTCTCTGACCGTACAAAATTGACTTGAAAAGTCAAAGCCGTTCCTTGTAGTTTCTTCCTCTTCCCTCGTGATAGTAGTGCTCATAGCGAGCAAGAGGTAAACACGTGCAGCAATGTTACCTACATCACCGATGTCAAAGACGATCTGATTTAGCATATTCTGAAAATATGATACTGTGCTTTGCGCATATTCTGTCTAACTCGCAAATCTTGAAGAATAATCCAACATTGATTTACCTACCGTAATCGTCGAATTAACTTTGAACTACCATTTACTCGAAGAGTTAATGTTGTCTTATGCATGTTTCCGTTGAATGGCTGTAGTAAAAGCGCCAAACCAACGTCGCACACTCTAAGTCTTTCTTAAGCCCGTGCAACTACATTCCGGAAGATGACAATTTCCGTTGGAGATCGATTGTGCTGACCTACATCTACGACATTGACCTAAGTGTCGTTACGTCCGTTATGGGGGTCTCGACGCGGTCTATTTCTCGTTGGGGTTTACTGTTTCGTCGTAGTGGTAATGTGATACCGAACACGCGAATTCGCACACAC